ATCCATAAGTTATGGAAATGAAATCATTTCACTTGTCATTCCTTGATGACTCATTTTTAAAACTAAAATATCATCCTACTCGCAAGATTCCTCTTTGTAAAAAAAAAACAAAAATAGATTAATTTTGTTCGATAGCAAGCATGGAGCTTATAAGGGATGGTTGTTTGAGACTAGAGGTATAACCCCAGGGGTGGGTACTCCCATCTTATGTGGGCTATAAGATAGGTATGTGCCCCCAAGATATGGTATGATTTTTAAGGGGTCTCGATCCTTAAAAAGGCAACATTTTACCTCTTTTGGCATTGTGTTCCTGATGTGTTTCTTAGATAAGGGTTACCTGAATTGCAGCCACATGGAAACATGAATAAAACTGAGCTATTCCTCAGCGTATTTGGAAAGTGATTCAGTGAAGGTTTGTGTGTTGCTATCGTATTTGTATTTTTTCCACCTAAAATAGGGTGTCATTTTTCGGGTTTGGGGCTTAAACTTAATAGGGTATCAATTCCTTAAAAAGCATCAGGCCAAAATAAGTAGCCTGTTCCAGGCACTAAGATAGTGCAGTCAAGCAGTAAAAAGCGATACAAAAAAATGTGTGGGGACTTTATTTTCACTTGGCTTGTCTTCTTTACACAACGTCCCGACTCGCCCGTCTACTCTTCACTATATTCCCAAATGGAGAGCTTCCTTGGAGGCTACCCAACTATCTGAGAGCCTGGCACAAGCTACTCGAGGCAGCACAAGCCTATCCAAAATTTATGGGAGTACCCCCTCCCTTAGGGATATAACAGAAAAACTTTGACTGTTTCCATGGGACCGTGCCAATCATGAAGTCATCTAGTCTCAAATCAGAAAGATCCCAAATTTGTTTCCGTTGTTCTGTTTGTTGAGGAAATTTGATACTTCAACTTATATCTAAGAGGTGGTCACCATTACACTTCGCAACGACTCCAAAACGAAACTTCTATATAAAAAAGTACATCTTCGATCAGGAAAGTGACAAAATTCAGCACCACTAAAGGGTCTTTTGTGGTTTTAAGGGTCATTGCACAGCAAGCCACACAAGTCAACTGTCTTTACCGCAATTGTACCGCTTGTCAAAATAAAACGATCAGTTTCAGCTCGTGCAATGCACCCCACGGTACAGTACGGTACTGCTGCTACATTGATCTTACCTTGCTTTTTTAGAACTAAAAGACGATCTTAAGAAGAAAAGTTTCCCTATTCTTCACTTAAGTTCACACGCCATGAAGGGTCATCAATTTACACAGTTGCTCAGCTTTTATAAGCTTAACTGCTTCTCTTGGGATATAAAAGCGGGATAAAGTGCTTTTCCTCCTGCGTTCTAATGAACACTCCGTCACTCTTAAAGAGACACTTTTCTTATGTCCGAGACCCTATTCTTGGCGAACTGGAACGCTGGGTTTCACTAGAGGCTTGAAATAGTCCATGAGCTTACGTGTATAAATAGAAACCGTAGAATGCTACGTCAAACTCTCAGATCATTTGAGAGCCTTATGACCATGACGCACCAATGCCGGGCAGCTGAGGAAACAGTCTTGCGTGACCATTTCAGTGAGCGTGACAGTCCAAATCATCAGTCCGTTATCAGGCTGCGAGAAAACTCTGAATTTGAATCAAGAGAGGCGAAGGTCGTGCTTTTCAAAATAGAGAGCTTTCTTGCAATCCTGCACTCAATTTGACGATACCACACACAGCAACTACAAAAAATATCAAAAGATTCTTTTGGCTCGTCACGCAATGTCCTCTGCGTCCTGTTCGGAAGGCTCTGCAAATCAAACAGTTTCTTCATTTTTGCCAAAACAAATTATGTAAAAGTTACAAACCCATGAAACTTATTCTTTTCTTGCGCTTACCGTTGTTATTAGCTTATTTGTATTTAAAGGTGTAGAAAGATATAGTGTTTGCTTTGTAACTTTCTGTTTTCCTCTTGTCCACAACTGTTCTCTGTTTTTTTAAGTGTGTAGTTTATCAAATCTTTCTCAGTTTGTCAAAGAAGTAGAATAAAAAAAATAACCAGCAGTAATCTCCAATTAGGAAGAGCGTTCGAGCTCTTTTAGGTTTATTTTTTTATTTCCTAATAAAATGATGCTGCAAAACGCTTCCTATGTGTTTCTTTAAAGGAGAAAGAAAACAAAACAAAAAGACAACGAAAAAAAAAAAAGTCTCACTCGGAAGAAGTCGAACCCGAGACCTTCGAAGTGTGAGGGCAACGCATTATCCATTGCGCTACGCAACCACTGCTTAGACCAATTGACCACTACAGAAAATACCATAACATACCATAATGCTCTTTTTTGTCACCCCAAAATTTTGCATATGCATTGTTTTCAGTTTCTCTTGGGGTCATTTTAACTCCCAAGAGAAACTGAAAGCAACTCTTAAGCAAACTTTTGGGGTGTCAAACAAAGAGCATTATGGTATGTTATGGTATTTTCTGGAGTGGTCAATTGTCAAATTGTGTTGATTTTTGTGTCCATGGGATAAATTATTCAAGATGGCACAGAAAATGCAGACGTACGACAAAATGAGGGTTAGCGTTTGGAAACATCGAGTGAAGCCAGATTGGACACCTTATGAATTTTACACAACGCATTATTTGCATAATGGAGGCGAGACTGGAATGTAGAATGAGGCTAGAATAGCTGAAGAAACCAAAACTACAGAGCTCCAGTTATGGAGAGAACACTGTAGAGAGTTAAGCACTGATCTGCAGTGATTAGGGTTAAGCACTGAACTGAAAACGGTTAGCTTTCAAATATTGTAATGGGGTACGGCATATATAAGAAGATGTATATTTTAAAAATTACTGAATTTGGCAGCTAGTCCTCGATGGTGTAGTGAATATGGATGTAGGGTATAAAGCAAGTGACCCGGGTTCAAAGCATCACAGTGGAGTTTTCCTATTTCACTTTTATATTACACAGTAAAGTTGGACTTAAGTTGTTCTTCATGTAATTTTACTGAAAGAAACAATCTGACTTCAGCCGATGTTACCTAATGCTAACCCAAAATGAGTACCACAAAAGGTCACCGTTAGTACCACAGGAGTCCCAAGATTATGTGTTGCGTTCTCCTAAAAGCTGGGGAACCCATTGCACCTGTATTCCTCTGCACGTGTCAACCTTGTTCCCAGGAAACCTGGGAATGAGGTTGTGTTATGCACATGTATCATTAGGGACCTTAAGCAACTACGACCACGACGGCAGTGCTGAACAAATGAATTTGTGTCCTTTCAAACTTTATCGCGTCTAGTGGAACCGCTTAATTTGTGAAATTAAGGCTACTTTTCCTGGAGTTAATTGTTAAGGGCTTTATCCATGTTCAAATAGGAAAAGGAAAATTTGTTGTCGTATGTCCACGTCATCCATAAAACGTTAAATTAGGAGATTTCACGTGGTAGTCATGCAGTGGACGTCAAAGAAATGTACTAAAAAGCGTGATGCACATGCAGAGCTGTTGTTTTGACCACAAGGCCAATTGTTTCTTGACGTTGTTGTTGTCGTCGTCGTAGTAGTTGCTTAAGGTCCCTACTGAGAAAAATTACAAAATAGGCACAGTTCTAGGTACTACTATTTTGCTTTAGGGGTAAGATTGGGCCACATCCACAAAACAAGACTACATAGTGTTTCAACTCTCCCATGGGAAAATTCTGAAAAAAAAATAGTGAGGCATGGTTGATGCCACCTGTTATTTTTTGGTGAGTGAGTATTAAACCACACCAACGGTTTAGACTCATTTAATTACACTCTGACATTCAGCGATGAATACCCAGTACACACACAAATCAAACACACAACCTAAGGACCAAACAAAACATAACTACTGGAAACAACACAAACACAGAAAAGGAAAAAAATAGTTTCAACATATAGTTCCATGACAGGGCTATGCACCACTAAAATTTCACATTGCTGGGAAAATACAGTAAGTAGGCTGGGGACCAAACAGCTAGGAATTTCTTTTGGTACTATTATTTTTTTGTTCTATTTCCTTCTTCCTAGCTTTTTTTATTCTTCAGAGTTTCCTATGTAATTCAGGAGAAATTCAAAGCCCCTCACCCTTAATGATAGCCCTGCATGATTATTCATTACATAGCACGTATAAAAAATGTCCATAGAATACTTATGTGCACAGTGTATCATATACATTTTCCTGTGTATTTACAATGCTAATGCAGGGTTCAAAATAAAATCACAGCTTTTAGCCTGAATCTGTAGGGGTTTTTTTGTCAATAGTCAATAACGTGATTTAATACAGTAGTCAAAGGAATTAAACATTCAATGCATAGGATTTGTGGAGAGTTTACTAATGAACAGATCTGTCAAGAACCCGATGCCCAGCACATGACCAAAATCTTTCTGAATTGAAATGTCACTTTTACATGACCCTGCAGAAACATAAAAGCAATAACGCAATGGTTTGTCTAGACAAGCTTGTATGTTTCACGCTTGAACAAATGCATAAAAGAATTAATCATTTACGGTGAACAAGAATTCTCCTTAACAACTTTTGCAGCACACTTTAAATTTCCAAACCTTTTTCTACTCTTTCTCCTCATTTTAAAACGTTTCCAAAAAGCTTTTAAAACATTTCTTGGCTGCTTTATGGTCTGATATGAAATGTTTACTACAACATTACAGTACTTCAATTTCAGTTGGCCAATCAAAGCATGACATTTCTTATTTCTTTGGTGAAACTTCGCTGGCAAGTGTGGTCAAAGTGCCGGCCACCTGGCAGCTACTTTGTACCCTGCTAATCTACACAATGTACTTTAAGCAAAGACGGTCTTAGAGTCCATTTCCATTTTGCTTGATACAAATAACATTTCAGTGAGTAACACAAATCCAAAACCACTACCATACAAGAGAAGGTAGATGAGCAGCTATTTGGCCTGATCTCACAGGCTATGACTTCTGTAGTTTGAACTGTCTGTGTCAAAAGTGTCCATGACATAAGCATCTAGATAATGACATAGTTCTTTATGATACAATATCAGCTAAGTGAAGTCTCGTTTGTCTTGTTTCAAGATCTTGAAAGGTATGAGCCCAAGCAGCTACTCTCTCTCGTGTTCTTTTCAGCAGCCCTTCTTTCTGTACTAGCTCAGCTCTCATTCTTTCAACTTCCTAATAAATGGAGAGAAAAAAAGAAAATAAAAGTTAAATGGCTTCTACTATATTAAACAGCTCTGTTATTTGGGTACAAAGTGCCATAAAATTAAAATCAGTAATGGTGTATAAAGCGATCTGTTCTGAAAAGTTAAATAATACGAAAGGAAGTTCTTCAAATAATAGATTGATCATACATGATGATAGAAGGTATTAAAATCATTACCCCTAAATTTTACTCAAATCCTAAATCAAAAGAGATTTGATTCAATAAAAAGAAAAAGTAGATTCACGTATGTCGATAGCTCCCGATTTAGCAGTGTAAGTCCTGCCTTGATAAGCACTAAAGAAATACATGCATAACATCGAGGAACATGCTTTTAAAAGCCTCTACAAGTTTTTCACGACCTTGATAGATAAGCCAATCTGTCAATCTGCTTGTGTTTCCAGTAAAAACCTCCATATTTAGTATTATTAGCATTGGAAACCACGTGCGTATCAAAATTGCAGGGTTGACCCCAGGGTAGGCAAATGCCTGGCCCCTGGGCCATGCAGAACTTGCTAATGCCCCACCCCCGAGACTGATAAGGCAGGCAAATGCCCCACAGTGGCCCCTTAGGAAGGGGGAATGGGTGCAGCTGGAAATGACTGATGCATTGGGCTAGGGTATCAAGCTCAAAACAGTGCTATAACTGTAAATAGTCTATTATTACCTCCTTTGTGACTTCTTGGGGATGATTCACCCGGCTGTACATTTGTTTTCGTAGAAAATCGGCTTCTAAGGACTTTGCAGAATCAAGAAATCTCTTGATGCAGGCTTCCACCCCTAAAACAACGTTAAAACATGTTTGATTATTTCCCATAGGCAATTTAAATCAACTTTAAGATGTGGTAGTTTCATATCATCAATATTTTAACCATTAGTGACAGTAAAAGTACAAAAAGCTTAAAACTAGGCAAAGCTCACCGCTTTGGTTGACATCCACCATCTTGCCATCTTTCTCAACGTTGTCAGTGACAAGAAAAAGCGATACGCAGGACTGTTGAAATGAGATGAAAACTCTCAAAATGTAATCCTTTAAAGGAAAAATAGATTTAGCAAGACGACATAAAACGTTTACCTGTAGCGAAGACTCGAGAGCGCTGACCAAATCCTCCTTGTAGGCCGCCATTTTAGCTCATCTTGAATTAGACTAGTTCCCAGGGTTTCCCCAGTTCCCTTGAAGTCGAGGCTCTTTTAAGGACGATTGCTTGCGAAAAATGCTTCCTTAAAAGAAAAGGTCTCAAGCTGTTTAGGCCAAAAGAGAAAAAAACATGTGACAGGCCAGTTTGGTCAGTTAGTTGCGGAGAAGTTGGAGCGAGAGCAACATTTGGTTCAAATGGTCAAACCCTGTTAATCATATCCTGTTTTGAAAAAATGAAGAGCCTCCTGGGAGGGGCAATAGAAACTGTCCGTATTTTTAAAATGAATTGAAAGGATAAATCAACCTCGTCACGGTCATTCGCTCCCATAGTTCCCTCGAAAACTTTTACCCGATTCCAGACCAAAATGGGGAAAGTCTATACCCGTTTTCAGACCTGAACAGCGCAAAATACCCTACCCTTTGGGGCGGCACACACCTACATGGCCTATATAAGGATAGCCCCCGCCCCCCCCGGAAGTTAGTAAGCTGACTTTCTATGAGATTGTTGATTGGGCAAGAAACAAGCGTCCGTTGCCCGCATTAATGGGTCTCCGTATTACTGAAGATTTTTCCTCTTAGTACCCAAAAAGGAGTTGAGTCCAAACGATAGCTTCAAGTTTGGAAGGCAAAGGGTTTAGAAGTCTTTGATTACTTATCTATGGAAGATTCAAGCAAGGCGACCCATTTCGACAAGTACAGCAGAAGTGTTGTTATACAAAGTACTACAGGTATCATTCTGTACTTGTTTTTAGCCTGGGACCAGGCTCTGTGGTGGGGAGAAAAGGCCAAAAACGTGGTCAAATAGGAAAAATATCGGCCAGCCAAGCAGTGCCCTGGGGAGGGGGAAAAGACTACCTCTCAGCTCGCTTCGCTCACTGATTTTTTTTTTCCTTTTTCCCCCAATGCGGAGCCTGGTCCCAGGCTAACTTGTAGTAAGGTACATGAAGGACACGTGCCTTATATGATTTAAACACCAGTTGTGTGGCCTTCCCATCGCCAGTCTTCCCTTAGTTACTATGCCTTTGACATTTCAAAACATTTACTGATGTATTGATTTGATGAGATGCGACTGCGCATCAAGGAAAGAGCAAACTATGCCTTAAACTTGTGCAAATGAACACATCAAAGGACTTTGAATTTGACTTTTTAGCTTGTCATTACATTAGATTTGTTAACACCCTTGATTACCCATAATGCTTCCCTGCCTTTTTCAGTCCACATTTGCAACTTTCTCAAAGGCAGTTTTATGGGTTGTGATGGAACCTGCAATATTATGGGGTCACTTTAACTGGAGAAAACACAATTTAATTCAAAAGAAAAAACATTTTTTTTTAGTTTTTTCTTTTGACTTTAATTTTAAAAAAATAAAACAGATTTGATATGCAAACTCCATCCAATTTATTAAAATCAGCAACAAGTAGCATGAGCTTGATAATTTTACAGTGGGTAATTATTTAACCCTTCCATGCTCTCATCAACTGCAGTGACCAAAATGGGACAAAAGTTAAACAAGATCTTGATCAGTTGGCTTGTGGTGTGGCTTCTTTCTTGGGCTTCCTCAGCTTTGAAAAGATATAGATTCCAGTAAGAGTGCCATAAACAGCTAACACAATCTGCAAGGAAAATCATGTTCTTTGGACAAATTTCAACAGAAAACAAACCAATAACTAATACTATAGAGAAGTTTAACACAAACTGGATATAATAACAATAATTGCCTTTTTTTGTTGTGAAATGTTGGTAGTCTTCACACTAGAGCCTAAATAAGCTAAGAAATATTTCAAGACAAGTAAATTTTAAATTTTTCAAGTAAAAGAAAGCTCCACACACAACCTATCTTTTTTACTTCAGGTTTACTTAAGCCCATTTTGCCACACAACATAATTAAGGTTGATTGACATGCTTTGCCTTTTTCAAAGCTTAGAAACCACAAGTTCACTAAGTCGGTTTTAAGGATGGTTTTCAAGTCACTTGAAACTTTCTTGAATCTTTTCAACTTTCCGACTTTAATGAGATGCAAAGTAAAGTTACTCGAGATTTTACTTAGGCCTTCACACACGCATTTTTAGTTAAGTAAAACTTAGCAGCTCTTAAGTCTTACTTAACAGCCTAGTGTGAAAACAACCGGTGAGTTGCATAAAAACACTGTCTTACTTTGGGGGTTGCTCTAGCCCTTGAAAACTCAGCAGAACCAAGCAAAGCTAGAAAAAGGAGAGTTCACAAAGAACTTCTTTGACTGTGAGGCTTTTTGGATGGAAATTCTGGGGATGTAATGGACTTTTTGCAGCTTTTCCTGCTCCAAGATGTGCTGATAATTTGATCATTATACACTCGAGATCAGAGAAGTAAGATCAAAGTAAAAAAAATATTTCTTAAAAAAAATTAATAAATGGACATAATCACATATTTCAATCTTGCACATTTTGAGTACAAAATTTAGGTACTTTTCTCTGTTTACACAAATTACTTGATATGTGTATCTTCAATCTTCTATAACTTTCCACAGTTACTGTATTTATTTGGCTATAAGCCGAGGTATTTTTAAACAAATTAAAGCCAAAGTTCAGTGAAATTTCAGCCCAATAGGGGGTCTCAGCTCATACCCAGGAGTTTTTGACAAAATAATTTTTTCAGTGCATTGAAACTCTACTAAACTCTGACTAAATGGAGATGTATTCACTTATAAGCTGAGCAAATAGCAGCAAAAGATCGAATCGATCACATAACTACAAATCTGAATGTTAAGTTAGCTAAGCACAGAAATTCAGTCCCAAATTGTCCAAATAGCTGACAAAAACAGATCTCACAACTAAATCTCACGTTGATCAGCCTTTGACAATGAGGGAAGGTGTAAAACAAATAAAAAAAGGTTATGAAATGTGTAAACAATCTGCCATGTTAGGTCAAACATGTGCTTCAAAACATTTGCCTGGTTACTAGGCACAAACAAACGCAATGCAAACTGATGTGGTTTGTTTGGATTGAAAGACGATTTATGTGATCATTTCAAGCATAATGGGAGGAAGACAGGAGGATAGCCTGAAATTCATCCGATTGCTTCGAGTCGTTTTCTCCTCTCAGACGTTACTGAGGGAGAAATAACGACTCGAAGTAATCGGATGAAATTCAGGCTAACATGAGGAAAGATCAATACAAAACATGTAGCAGTGAAAAGCCCAAACAACAATAATTTGTACCTTTTCCTTGAGAAGGTCAAATTTTTTTCGAGTTGCTAAAAGTCTTGTAATGAATGGGTTTCGGCTTATAGCAGGGTGTTTTGGATTTATCTTTTGTTCTTGGTTAAGCTGATTCTACGAGTTGAAAGTTTAGGGTCGCGGCTAATAGCCAAGATCGGCTTATTGCCGAATGAATACGGTACATACAACACAATAACAACACAATAACGGTAATATAGACGGTACAATAACGGTAATATATACGGTACATAAAACACAATAACACATCTTGAACTCTTTTGAAAGTACAAATTTGCCAAGTTTAAATTTAATTTGTCACTATTTCACTGAAATGTGTTCAAAAGAGTTTGTGAACTCTTACATCGAAGTGTACCTGACTATTGTGCTACAAGTCAAATAAAAAGAGGACACTCACAGTAAAAAAAAAAAACGGATTTCGTAGTTAGAGATGTAAAAAAAAATCCCAGAGTTCACAAATAGCTGGATTAATCAATGCAATATATTCGCAAAGTACCTAAACAATATAAGCTTAATATAACCTTATCAGTTTGGGCTTATTTACGAGTGAGGAGATTTATGTATATTTTGTAGAGGATGTGACCACCTAATAATTACTCACATTACGTCTCCCAACAATGGTTTCACTGTTCAAGTAGTATTTCCATCCCGTCAAACCAAGTTCCTCTGGTGTCGGATGGCTTGCCATCTGACGCGCCATTGGCCGCGTCAACGGTGAACGCAAACTTCTCCACAAGGCGCCGTACATTGTGGTTTGTCCTAAAACAAGGAAAGGAGAACAAAGCCCCAATAAAAAGCGCAGTAACCAAGGAAGGAATTGATGCAAACATAACCATTCCCAAGTGTATATATGAAGACAAAGACTGCACCTAATAAATAAAATGACATTCAGTAATAAGGTGGATAATTTGCAAAATCTTCACAGAACATTAATAGCCTCTATTTAACCCCTGTCCAGAATTCATTTTTTCAATTATACACAAATTTAGATAATATTTTTTATCTTCCACAGGGAATTATTATAATAATTATATTATGTTTATTCATTATTTATTATTTAACTGATTTCTAAAATCATCACCTCTTTTTCCAATTCTTCTAGAGAAGAGTTGAGTTTCTGCTTACTGCAAGAATCGCTGTCTTGTGATGAAGTAGTATAAGGAAAACCTTTAGCCTCACTGACTCGTTTGTAGATAAATTGCTGTATGACTGGTAAGTGCATGAAGAGCCCATATGCGTAAAGAAAAATCACTGGCTCTATAGTGGGCTTTAGTGACTTCCATGACACTCTTGAAGGCATGGCTTGATAGAACTGGCAATATACAAAACTTACAAAACCTAAAATAGAAAAATATTATCCTTTAAAAAAAAACAGTATCAATTAAGAAAACAAAAGGATGCACTAGATATCCCACAACTCATTTGTGGCATAAAGTGCATCCAAGCAGTAGGGACATTACCATATACAGTGTATGGGATATATAGGTGTGAGCCACTGTGAAGGGTATGGCTTTTTAAGCAACTTATTAGTCCGGGATAAGGTATAGAGATCAGACAGTTTGGGCCTAGAATAGGGTGTCATTTTCCAGGAAACTAAGCAATTGGTTGAAAATTTTAGGCTAGACTAGGGAAACCAGGAATTGACAAATTATTCAAAAAATGAAATCTGCAAATCTTAGTTTACACGTAACTCAGTTTGATGGCAAAGAGAACGTCAACTCTAGGATAGGGAGAGATTTTGGGCATCTACTCTAGTTTAGCTGGGTAGAGAAATTCAGCCAAACTAGGTCTGGTGTAGCCTAAGGGTTCCGCCGTCCCAGTAGCACATCCCTACCCAAACATTTCTAAAGTACCTCCCCTAGGGGGCATCCATTGGACCATGCCAATCATGAAGTCATCTAGTATCAGATAGATCCCAAATTTGTTTCCGTTGTTCTGTTTGTTGAGGAAATTTGATACTTCAACTTATAACTTAAAGGTGGTCACCGTCTGCGCAACGTCTCCAAAACGAAACTTCTACATAAAAAAGTACATCTTCGGGAAAGCGACAAGATTCAGCAAAATTAAAGTAGGCACCACTGTTGTAAAAGGGTCTTTTGTGGTCTTAAGGGTCATTGCACAGCAAGCCACACAAGTCAACTGTCTTACCGCAGTAGCACCGCTTGTCAAAATAAAACGATCAGTTTCAGCTCGTGCAAGGCACCCCATGGTACAGAACGGTCCTGCTCCATTGATCTTACCTTACTTTTCTAGAACTGAGAGACGATCTTTAGAAGAAAGGTTTCCCTATTCTTCACTTAAGTTCACACGCCATAAAGGGTCATCAGTTTACACAGTTGCCCAGCTATTATAAGCGTAATTGCTTCTCTTGGGATATAAAAGTGGGATAAACTGCTTTTCCTCCTGCGTTCTGATAAACACTCCGTCACTCTTTTAAAGAGGCAAATTTTCCTGTGTCCGAGACCCTATTCTTGGCGAACTGGAACGCTGGGTTTCACGTAGAGGCTTGAAATAGTCCATGAGCTTACGTGTATAAATAGAAACTGTAGAATGCTGCGTCAAACTCTCAGATCATTTGAGAGCCTTATCACCATGACGCACCACTGTCACCGAACTGTCACCACTGCCGGGAGCAGCTGAGGAAACAGTCTTGCGTGACCATTTCAGTGAGCGTGACAGTCCAAATCATCAGTCCAACATCAGGCTGCGAGAAAATTCTGTGAATCAAGAGAGGCGAAGGTCGTGCTTTTCAAAATAGAGAGCTTGCTTGCAATCCTGCACTCAATTTGACGATAGCACACAGCAACTACAAAAAATATCAAAAGATTCTTTTGGCACGTCACGCAATGTCCTCTGCGTCCTCTTCGGAAGGCTCTGCACCGAATCAAACAGTTTCTTCATTTTTGCCACAACAAATTATGTAAAAGTTAAAAGCCCATGAAACTTATTCTTTTCTTGCGCTTACCGTTGTTATTAGCTTATTTGTATTTAACAGTGTAGAATGATAAAGTGTTTGCTTTGAAACTTTCTGTTTTCCTCTTGTCCACAAGCTACTCTGTTTTTTAAGTGTGTAGTTTATCAAATCTTTCTCAGTTTGTCAAAGAAGTAGAATCAAAATAATAACTAGTAGTAATCTCCAATTAGGAAGAGCGTTCGAGCTCTTTTAGGTTTATTTTGTTATTTCCCAATAAATTGATGCTGCAAAACGCTTCCTATATATTTCTTTAAAAAAGAAAGAAAACAAAACAAAACGACAACGAAAAAAAAAAGTCTCACCCAGAAGAAGTCGAACCCGAGACCTTCGACGTGTAAGGGCGACGCATTATGCACTGCGCTACGCAACCACTGCTTAGACCAATTGATCACTACAGAAAATACCATAACATACCATAATGCTCTTTTTTGTCACCCCAAAATTTTGCGTATGCATTGTTTTCAGTTTCTCTTGGGGCCATTTTAACTCCCAAGAGAAACCGAAAACAATGCTTATGCACAATTTTGGGGTGTCAAACAAAGAGCATTATGGTATGTTATGGTATTTTCTGGGGTGGTCAATTGTCAATTTTGTGTCCATGAGATAAATTATTCAAGAAAACTCGCAGAATTCGCAGAAAATGCAGACGTACGACCAAATGAGTACCACAAAAAGTCATTTTCGTAGGTTACAGAAACGATAGGTTTTTTCCCCATACAAATCCTTGTATTTTGGAATGTTACGCAACAATGCCGATGCTCGCCGATGCTCATATTTCGAGCTTGCCAGCTTGGGCTACCTGTGGTTAAGCTATCTTAACTCCACGTGCTTGCAATCATTATGCTTGTTTAGATAATAAACACTGAAAACTGCCATTTTGCTTCTACGAAGTTCTGAGATTTAGATTGTGGAAGCTGGAGTACAACTATACAAAAAGCTGGGGAACCCATCACACCTGTATTCCTCTGCACGTGTCAACCTTGTTCTCAGGAAACCTGGGAATGAGGTTGTGTTATGCACATGTATCATTAGGGACCTTAAGCAACTACGACGACGACGGCAGTGCTGAACAAATGAATTTGCGTCCTTTCAAACTTTATCGCGTCTAGTGGAACCGCTTAATTTGTGAAATGTAGGCTACTTTTCCTGGAGTTAATTGTTAAGGGCTTTATCCATGTTCAAATAGGGAAAGGAAAATTTGTCGTCGAATGTCCACGTCATCCATAAAACGTTAAAGTAGGAGATTTCACGTGGTAGTCATGCAGTGGACGTCAAAGAAATGTACTAAAAAGCGTGATGCACATGCAGAGCTGTTGTTTTGACCATAAAACCAATTGTTTCTTGACGTTGTTGTTGTCGTCGTCGTAGTAGTTGCTTAAGGTCCCTACTGAGAAAAATTACAGGAGGCCCAGTTCTAGATACTACTATTTTGCTTTAGGGGTAAGATTGGGCCACATCCACAAAACAAGACTACATAGTGTTTCAACTCTCCCANTTTGTGAAATGTAGGCTACTTTTCCTGGAGTTAATTGTTAAGGGCTTTATCCATGTTCAAATAGGGAAAGGAAAATTTGTCGTCGAATGTCCACGTCATCCATAAAACGTTAAAGTAGGAGATTTCACGTGGTAGTCATGCAGTGGACGTCAAAGAAATGTACTAAAAAGCGTGATGCACATGCAGAGCTGTTGTTTTGACCATAAAACCAATTGTTTCTTGACGTTGTTGTTGTCGTCGTCGTAGTAGTTGCTTAAGGTCCCTACTGAGAAAAATTACAGGAGGCCCAGTTCTAGATACTACTATTTTGCTTTAGGGGTAAGATTGGGCCACATCCACAAAACAAGACTACATAGTGTTTCAACTCTCCCATGGGAAAATTCTGCAAAAAAAATAGTGAGGCATGGTTGATGCCACCTGTTATTTTTTGGTGAGTGAGTATAAAACCACACCAACGGTTTAGACTAATTTAATTATACTCTGACCTTCAACGATGAATACCTGGTACACAGACAAATCAAACACACAACCTAAGGACCAAACAAAACATAACTACTGAAAACAACACAAACACAGAAAAGGAAAACAATAGTTTTAACATATAGTTCCATGACAGGGCTATGCACCACTAAAATTTCACATTGCTGGGTAAATACAGTAAGTAGGCTGGGGACCAAACAGCTAGGAATTTCTTTTGGTACTATTATTTTTTTCTTCTAGTTTCCTTCTTCCTAGCTTTTTTTATTCTTCAGAGTTTCCTATGTAATTCAGGGGAAATTCAAAGCCCCCCACCCTTAATGATAGCCCTGCATGATTATTCATTATATAGCACGTATAAAAAATGTCCATAGAATACTTATGTGCACCGTGTATCATATATATTTTCCTGTATATTTACAATGCTAATGCAGGGTTCAAAATAAAATCACAGCTTTTAGCCTGAATCTGTAGGGTTTTTTTGTCAATAGTCAACAATGTGATTTAATACAGTAGTCAAAGGAATTAAACATTCAATGCATAGGATTTGTGGAGAGTGTACTAATGAACAGAATCTGTCAAGTACCCGATGCCTAGCACATGACCAAAATCTTTCTGAACTGAAATGTCACTTTACATGACCGTGCAGAAACATAAAGGCAATAACACAATGGTTTGTCTAGACAAGCTTGCATGTTTCACGCTTGAACAAATGTATAAAAGAATTAATCATTTATGGTGAACAAGAATTCTCCTTTACAACTTTTGCAGCACACTTTAAATTTCCAAACCTTTTTCTACTCTTTCTCCTCATTTTAAAACGTTTCCAAAAAGCTTTTAAAACGTTTCTTGGCTGCTTTATGGTCTGATATGAAATGTTTACTACAACATTACAGTACTTCAATTTCAGTTGGCCAATCAAAGCATGACATTTCTTATCTCTTTGGTGAAACTTCGCTGGCAAGTGTGGTCAAAGTGCCGGCCACCTGGCAGCTACTTTGTACCCTGCTAATCTACACAATGTACTGAGCAACACAAATCCAAAACCACTGCCATACAAGAGAAGGTAGATGAGCAGCTATAATTTGGCCTAATCTCACAGGCTATGACTTCTGTAGTTTGAACTGTCTGTGTCAAAAGTGTCCATGACATAAGCATCTAGATACTGACATAGTTCTTTATGATACAATATCAGCTAAGTGAAGTCTCGTTTGTCTTGTTTCAAGATCTTGAAAGGTATGAGCCCAAGCAGCTACTCTCTCTCGTGTTCTTTTCAGCAGCCCTTCTTTCTGTACTAGCTCAGCTCTCATTCTTTCAACTTCCTAATAAATGGAGAGAAAAAAAGAAAATAAAAGTTAAATGGCTTCTACTATATTAAACAGCTCTGTTATTTGGGTACAAAGTGCCATAAAATTAAAATCAGTAATGGTGTATAAAGCGATCTGTTCTGAAAAGTTAAATAATACGAAAGGAAGTTCTTCAAATAATAGATTGATCATACATGATGATAGAAGGTATTAAAATCATTACCCCTAAATTTTACTCAAATCCTAAATCAAAAGAGATTTGATTCAATAAAAAGAAAAAGTAGATTCACGTATGTCGATAGCTCCCGATTTAGCAGTGTAAGTCCTGCCTTGATAAGCACTAAAGAAATACATGCATAACATCGAGGAACATGCTTTTAAAAGCCTCTACAAGTTTTTCACGACCTTGATAGATAAGCCAATCTGTCAATCTGCTTGTGTTTCCAGTAAAAACCTCCATATTTAGTATTATTAGCATTGGAAACCACGTGCGTATCAAAATTGCAGGGTTGACCCCAGGGTAGGCAAATGCCTGGCCCCTGGGCCATGCAGAACTTGCTAATGCCCCACCCCCGAGACTGATAAGGCAGGCAAATGCCCCACAGTGGCCCCTTAGGAAGGGGGAATGGGTGCAGCTGGAAATGACTGATGCATTGGGCTAGGGTATCAAGCTCAAAACAGTGCTATAACTGTAAATAGTCTATTATTACCTCCTTTGTGACTTCTTGGGGATGATTCACCCGGCTGTACATTTGTTTTCGTAGAAAATCGGCTTCTAAGGACTTTGCAGAATCAAGAAATCTCTTGATGCAGGCTTCCACCCCTAAAACAACGTTAAAACATGTTTGATTATTTCCCATAGGCAATTTAAATCAACTTTAAGATGTGGTAGTTTCATATCATCAATATTTTAACCATTAGTGACAGTAAAAGTACAAAAAGCTTAAAACTAGGCAAAGCTCACCGCTTTGGTTGACATCCACCATCTTGCCATCTTTCTCAACGTTGTCAGTGACAAGAAAAAGCGATACGCAGGACTGTTGAAATGAAATGAAAACTCTCAAAATGTAATCCTTTAAAGGAAAAATAGATTTAGGAAGACGACATAAAACGTTTACCTGTAGCGAAGACTCGAGAGCGCTGACCAAATCCTCCTTGTAGGCCGCCATTTTAGCTCATCTTGAATTAGACTAGTTCCCAGGGTTTCCCGAGTTCCCTAGAGGTCGAGGCTCTTTTAAGGACGATTGCTTGCGAAAAATGCTCCTTCCTTAAAAGAAAAGGTCTCAAGCTGTTTAGGCCAAAAGAGAAAAAAACATATGACAGGCCAGTTTGGTCAGTTAGTTGCGGAGAAGTTGGAGCGAGAGCAATATTTGGTTCAAATGGTCAAACCCTGTTAATCATATCCTGTTTTGAAAAAATGAAGAGCCTCCTGGGAGGGGCAATAGAAACTGTCCGTATTTTTAAAACGAATTGAAAGGATAAATCAACCTCGCCACGGTCATTCGCTCCCATAGTTCCCTCGAAAACTTTTACCCGATTCCAGACCAAAATGGGGAAAGTCTATACCCGTTTTCAGACCTGAACAGCGCAAAAAACCCTACCCTTTGGGGCGGCACACACCTACATGGCCTATATAAGGATAGCCCCTCCCCCCGGAAGTTAGTAAAGTAAAAAAAAAAACAATCGTTTATTAGCGAAGCTGACTTTCTATGAGTTTGTTGATTGGGCAAGAAACAAGCGTCCATTGCCCGCATTAATGGGTCTCTGTATTACTGAAGATTTTTCCTCTTAGTACCCAAAAAGGAGTTGAGTCCAAGGGATACCTTCAAGTTTGGAAGGCAAAGGGTTTTAAAGTCTTTGATTACTTATCTATGGAAGATTCAAGCAAGGCGACCCATTTCGACAAGTACAGCAGAAGTGTTGTTATACAATGTACTACAGGTATCATTCTGTACTTGTTTTTAGCCTGGGACCAGGCTCTGTGGTGGGGAGAAAAGGCCAAACGGGGTCAAATAGTTAAAATATCGGCCAGCCAAGCAGTGGCCTGGGAGGGGGAAAAGACTACCTCTCAGCTCCCTTCGCTCACTAATTTTTTTTTTCCTTTTTCCCCCAATGTGGAGCCTGGTCCCAGGCTAACTTGTAGTAAGGTACATGAAGGACACGTGCCTTATATGATTTAAACACCAGTTGTGTGGCCTTCCCATCGCCAGTCTTCCCTTAGTTACTATGCCTTTGATATTTCAAAACATTTACTGATGTATTGATTTGATGAGATGTGACTGTGCATCAAGGGAAGAGCAAACTATGGATTACACTTGTGCAAATGAACACATTAAAGGACTTTGAATTTCACTTTTTAGCTTGTCTTTACATTAGACTCTTGTTAACACCCTTGATTACCCACAATGCTTCCCTGCCTTTTTCAGTCCAACGTTTGCAACTTTCTCAAAGGCAACTTTATAGGTTGTGATGGTACCTGGAGTATTATGGGTCCAACTTCAATTGGAGAAAACACAATTTAATTCAAAAGAAAAAACATTTTTTTAATTTTTTCTTTTGACTTTAATTTTAAAAAAATAAAACAGATTTGATATGCAAACTCCATCCAATTTATTAAAATCAGTAACAAGTAGCATGAGCTTGATAATTTTACAATGGGTAATTATTTAACCCTTCCATGCTCTCATCAACTGTGGTGACCAAAATGGCACAAAAGTTAAACAAGATCTTGATCAGTGGGCTTGTGGTGTGGCTTCTTTCTTGGGCTTCCTCAGCTTTGAAAAGATATAGATTCCAGTAAGAGTGCCATAAACAGCTAACACAATCTGCAAGGAAAATCATGTTCTTTGGATAAATTTCAACAGAAAACAAACCAATAACTAATACTATAGAGAAGTTTAACACAAACTGGATATAAGAACAATAATTCCCTTTTGTTGTTGTGGTAGTCTTTACACTAGAGCCTAAATAAGCTAAGAAATATTTCAAGACAAGTAAATTTTAAATTCTTCAAGTAAAAGAAAGCTTCACACACAACCTATCTTTTTTGCTTCAGGTTTACTTAAGCCTATTTTGCCACGCAACATAATTAAGGTTGATTGACATGCTTTGCCTTTTTCAAAGCTTAGAAACCACAAGTTCACTAAGTCGGTTTTAAGGATGGTTTTCAAGTCACTTGAAACTTTCTTGAATCTTTTCAACTTTCCGACTTTAATGAGATGCAAAGTAAAGTTACTTGAGATTTTACTTAGGCCTTCACACACGCATTTTTAGTTAAGTAAAACTTAGCAGCTCTTAAGTCTTACTTAACAGCCTAGTGTAAAGACAACCGGTGAGTTGCATAAAAACACCATCTTACTTTGGGGGTTGCTCTAGCCCTTGAAAACTCAGCAGAACCAAGCAAAGCTAGAAGAAGAAGAGTTTACAAAGAACTTCTTTGACTGTGAGGCTTTTTGCATGGAAATTCGGGGGATGTAATGGACTTTTGCAGCTTTTCCTACTCCAAGATGTGCTGATAATTTGATCATTATACACTCAAGATCAGAAAAGTAAGATCAAAGTAAAAAAAATGTGTCTTAAAAAAAATTAATAAATGGACATAATCAGATATTTCAATCTGCACATTTTGAGCACAACATTTAGGTACTTTCTCTGTTTACACAAATTACTTGATATGTGTATCTTCAGTCTTCTATAATTTTCCACAGTTACTGTATTTATTTGGCTATAAGCCGAGGTATTTTTACACAAATTAAAGCCAAAGTTCAGTGAAATTTGAGCGGGGGTCTCGGCTCATACCCAGGAGTTTTTGACAAAATAATTTTTTCAGTGCATTGAAAATCTACTAAACTCTGACTAAATGGAGATGTATTCACTTATAAGCTGAGCAAATAGCAGCAAAAGATCGCATTGATCACATAACTACAAATGTGAATGTTAAGTTAGCTAAGTACAGAAATTCAGTCCCAAATTGTCCAAATAGCTGACAAAAACAGATCTCACAACTAAATCTCACATTGATCAGCCTTTGACAATGAGGGAAGGTGTAAAACAAATGAAAAATGTCATGAAATGTGTAAACAATCCGCCATGTTAGGTCAAACATGTGCTTCAAAACATTTGCCTGGTTACTAGGCACAGACAAACGCAATGCAAACTGATGTGGTTTGTTTGGATTGAAAGACGACTTATGTGATCATTTCAAGCATAATGGGAGGAAAACATGAGGGTAGCCTGAAATTCATTCAATTGCTTCGAGTCGTTTTCTCCTCTCAGACGTTACTGAGGGAGAAATCACGACTCGAAGTTATCGGATGATATTCAGGCTAACATAAGGAAAGATCAATACAAAACATGTAGCAGTGAAAAGCCCAAACAACAATAGTTTGTACGTTTTCCTAGAGAAGGTCAAATTTTTTTCGAGTTGCTGAAAGTCTTGTAATGAATGGGTTTTGACTTATAGCCGGGTGGTTTGGATTTATCTTTTGTTCTTGGTTAAGCTGATTCTACGAGTTGAAAGTTTAGGGTCGCGGCTAATAGCCAAGATTGGCTTATTGCCGAATGAATACGGTACATACAACACAATAACAACACAATAACGGTAATATATACGGTACATAAAACACAATAACACATCTTGACCCAGGGGCCCCACTCACATACTTTAATGACGGGGGGGTCCGACAGAGGTTCATATTTTATACCCAAAAAAATCCCAACTTCAGAATTTGTCTACCCAAAAAAATCCCTACTTTTTTAGCATACCCAAAAAAATCCCTCAGTGTTTTTGCATCAGCAAATTTTATTATATATCTTCTGGAAAGCTAAAATATGCCAACTTCAACTTTGGTTTTGGTCAAAAACAAAACTATAAATTGCGCTTATGTTATTTTTGATTTGAGCTGATGAAAAATACAATACCCAAAAAAATCCCGGCATCTTTCATAGACCCAAAAAAATCCCTTTTGGCCAAAATGTCAGACCCAAAAAAATCCTTCGGACCCCCCCGTCATTAAAATATGTGAGTGGGGCCCCTGGGCATCTTGAACTCTTTTGAAAGTACAAATTTGCCAAGTTTAAATTTAATTTGTCACTATTTCACTGAGATGTGTTCAAAAGAGTTTGTGAACTCTTACATCGAAGTGTACCTGACTATTGTGCTACAAGTAAAATAAAAAGAGGACACTCACAGCAAAAAAAAACACGGATTTCGTAGTTAGAGATGTAAAAAAAATCCCAGAGTTCACAAGTAGCTGGATTAATCAATGCAATATATTCGCAAAGTACCTAAACAATATAAGCTTAATATAACCTTATAAGTTTGGGCTTATTTACGAGTGAGGAGATTTGTGTATATTTTGTGGAGGATGTGACCACCTAATAATTACTTACATTACGTCTCCCAACAATGGTTTCACTGTTCAAGTAGTATTTCCATCCTGTCAAACCAAGTTCCTCTGGTGTCGGATGGCTTGCCATCTGACGCGCCATTGGCCGCGTCAACGGTGAACGCAAACTTCTCCACAAGGCGCCGTACATTGTGGTTTGTCCTAAAACAAGGAAAGGAGAACATCACCATAATCAAGATGATATTTGAAACGTACTCTGGTTGAATTGTGTGTGTTAGTGCGCTAATTTGTCCTGGGAANCCAGAGTTCACAAATAGCTGGATTAATCAATGCAATATATTCGCAAAGTACCTAAACAATATAAGCTTAATATAACCTTATCAGTTTGGGCTTATTTACGAGTGAGGAGATTTATGTATATTTTGTAGAGGATGTGACCACCTAATAATTACTCACATTACGTCTCCCAACAATGGTTTCACTGTTCAAGTAGTATTTCCATCCCGTCAAACCAAGTTCCTCTGGTGTCGGATGGCTTGCCATCTGACGCGCCATTGGCCGCGTCAACGGTGAACGCAAACTTCTCCACAAGGCGCCGTACATTGTGGTTTGTCCTAAAACAAGGAAAGGAGAACATCACCATAATCAATATGATATTTGAAACGTACTCTGGTTGAATTGTGTGTGTTAGTGCGCTAATTTTTCCTGGGAAATTATCTCTAACCTTCTTCAATCAGCAAGTCAAATCCAAAATGGCGGACAAGAAGTCGAAGTAGTTACTTCATGTAAGGTGGCGATAAAAGTGGCTAACCGCTTATCACTCGCGGGCATTCTCGTCCCCAGTGTAGCGTGGACAGTAGCGTGTCGTTTCTTTTGGTGACGTGAATGAGTGAATGGAAAGGGTACCACACAAACGGAAAAGCAGTGAATGTGATCAGACAACATATTTATTTAAACATACATAGCCTGTTACAGGCGTTTGGCTCAGTTAGCGGAGAGATGCGCGGAATGGAGAGCCTTTTTTTCGGTCCTGCCCAATTCTTGGTATCTGAACACTAAGAACCGGGCATAACCCAACAATGTTCAGTTCGCATAAAATGATTAGAATACGTCTTTCATAGGATTAATTAGCTTGCAGCTGCAAGCTGACCTTCATTCTCTCTCTGGGCAACTCCACATAAAATCTAAATTTTCGGTCCCGCCTCTGTCCTTGTTTTTCTGTATTGACCCATAAAATGCTACATTTTGCTTTTTAAAAAAGTGATGTAGTTGTGTCACACAATCTAATCAGCTGTTAATAAATTCCCGGCATTTCTTGGTAGGAAAACATATGGAGCTTCAAATTTAATAAAATGTCGAAAAAGCCGTTTGAAAATAAACTGTATTTACATCTTTTTGTTGAGTCTACCACGTGCTAACTTCCAGTTAGCAGCGATCACGTCCGAGAGAGTTTTTTCTCTTGAACAGAGAAACATTTGCAGTAAACTTGATTGGCACCCGAGAGATATGATCAGAACTAAACAATTGAAGGGTTCAACTCAGTTTTAATTTCAATTCTCTCATTTGTTTCTGTTTGTTATCATTAATTGTACAATAATAACAAGTACTCAAAGACGGTCGATTTTCTAGGAAAATCAAGTCAAAAGTGAGCTAACACTTAAATACCGGATAGTTACTTTGGTGAAAAAGCTAAACAGAGATTTTGTATGCTTGACTTGAATCGTTGTGCTATGACTGGGAGGAAAATTCTCTTGACAAGTTATCGTGGCACGTCAGTTTTAACGACCCTATTAACCTAACAATAATTGACTCTCCTTTGTAAAACCGACAGAACAAATACGCAGATAACAAAGTCTGGCGAGCTTTAAATTCATTAAACGCATCTCGATAAGCTCAGTGTCGCTGTACGGGCTGTGTTGTGCTTGGAGTAAGAGCGCGCATCTGTAAGTCCCATTACGAGACACGTCTGTTGTAATTCAAAATGTCTTCTAGCAAATCGAAATCGAAAAAGAGCGGTGCAAAAAAGAAAGCGCAACGCGCTACCTCCAATGTTTTTGCGATGTTCGATCAGACGCAAATTCATGAGTTTAAAGAGGCATTCAACGTCATAGACCAAGATCGGGATGGAATAATTACTGCTAAAGACCTGACCGAGATGTTTAACTCCCTGGGCCGGCCCCAATCGGATGAATACATTGAGGACATGCTGGGTGAAGCCACAGGAAACATTAATTTCACCATGTTTATGACGCTGTTTTCAGAGAACATGCACGGGACAGATCCCGAAGACATGATAAGGAGCGCCTTTACAACTTTCGATCCCGATGGGACAGGAGTCATAAACGAAGACAGAATCCGTCCACTGTTGATGAAACTCGGAGACAAGTAAGTCACTTAAAATGATTTCTAATCTTTATTAAATAAAGGGTTCACAGCTGTGGTGATTAACCTCGTGCTGTTTGTCTCAGCTTGAAAAAGGTTCAAACTATCACGCACAATTCAAACAGAAAACGCTAGCAGACGAGAAGATTCTGATCAATGTTCCCGAGCTTTGAAGCTGTGGAAGACATTCATGAGTCAGGGCGTTTAGCACTTGGCAAACGATCAGCTGTTTCTAAGCCCGAAGTGAAACACTTTTTCTTTCTAACTCACTACCTTTTAATCAATAAAAATAGTAATCAATCTATCAAATTTTCAGGTTCACGGATGAAGAATGCGATGAAATGTTCTATTGTGCTAAAGCGGACGACGACGGAAACTTTAATTATGGGGAGTTTACCAAAGTCATCAAACACGGCGAAAAAGATGACTGAGTTTTACACTGGTGAACTGAACTGATTGAACTTCTTACCTATAGCTAGTGCAAAAGGTTTTAGTGTTATATTTCTGTATTCAAGTCTGTGCCATTTATAATTTTGAAAATATGTTCAAACTGATAGAGTAATTAAATTCTTTGTGCGTCACAATATGCGAGGTCATTGAGTCTAANTAACTCACTACCTTTTAATCAATAAAAATAGTAATCAATCTATCAAATTTTCAGGTTCACGGATGAAGAATGCGATGAAATGTTCTATTGTGCTAAAGCGGACGACGACGGAAACTTTAATTATGGGGAGTTTACCAAAGTCATCAAACACGGCGAAAAAGATGACTGAGTTTTACACTGGTGAACTGAACTGATTGAACTTCTTACCTATAGCTAGTGCAAAAGGTTTTAGTGTTATATTTCTGTATTCAAGTCTGTGCCATTTATAATTTTGAAAATATGTTCAAACTGATAGAGTAATTAAATTCTTTGTGCGTCACAATATGCGAGGTCATTGAGTCTAATGTGAGTGACCCACCCGTATGAGGTACACAGTTTTTGGTAATTATAAATTGTTGTTTCAGTATCAACGTCCTCAGTTACTCAGGTCAATTCCACGCAACCGGATGTTTTTGAAAACCGAGATTTTTTTCTCCGTTCTAAAGGAAACTGAAATACACGTCCACACGTCAGTAGCGTATTTTAATCCTTTTTCTGACATGAAAACGCTAGAGCGAAAGAATAAGAATTGAATACGATATTGTCCCTTACAGAACATACTCAATTCTAGTCTGGAGCCCGTGATCAAGGCTCCTGTTCTAGTTGTATATGATGTTGATGTATGACATCGTCGTATTGAAAAACCTTTTCGTTGGTCCACACGTAAACGATAAGCGGGAGTCTGTATTAAAAAAAAGCACTTCAGGAACCTTTGTCGAAAACTTGAGTCTCTGTTGACTTTGTTGCTCGAAAGGACACCGTTTATATGTGGTGTGAAACGGAGAAAAACTCCCGGGAAAAAACTCTCCGTTTTAAAAAAATACCCGGATGGCGTGTGGACGAAGTCTTGGAGACCGCTAGTGTGGACGGAGCGGCCTCGTTCTTTCTCACAGTCTATATCATATCTTCGAGTGTGTGTCCCTCGGACCAGTTTTGACTTATCAGCTTCTGGTATATCATTTACATTATCACTTTCAAAATTACATTTTCGATTGCCAGTTTTTGTGGAAAAGGAAGCTAATATCGGCTTTTAATTATTGACACAAATGCGAAGCCAAACGAACCAAGGAATTGCTGAAGATCAGTTAAAAATATCTCGAAACGGATAAGTGAGATTTTGGAATCTGGACTGAGGGACTCAAGCGTATATCTCCTTTCTTTTTTGCTTAACGTTTATTGTATAAAAAGAGTGGAAATTTTCCTTCTAAGTCGAACTTCACAAGATAATGTAAGTATTAGTGAGACTTCGTCTTTTCATTAAGGGATTGCAGATTCCGGAATTAGGAAAAATTTTGCTTATGGAATCTGGAATCTTGGGTTTTGGAATCCGGAATACAGCTCTAGGAATCTGGAATCCCACTGACGATTGGAATCCAGAATCCAAGTTCTATTGACAAATACTGGAATCCAGTACCTGCAATCCGGAATCCACGGCGTGGAATCCAGAATCCAAGATTGTCCTGAATTCCCTTAGACGGCCGTCCGAAACCAGTCACGCATCACTAAGAAGCTATCAAAGATAATCGGCTTCAGTGTTCATCGGCAAAGATGTTGCCAATTCCAAATAAATCTGTAAAAATTTCGTCCAAGGGATTTGCACATTCATTCCGATTTATTGAATTCATTTCGTTGTAACTATCAAAAGATTTTTGAGTCACAAGCCTCAAGAGAATTCAAGAGCAGATATATGAAGCGTTTGATACAAACGTGGGCTCAACAATGTTTCTATTCAGAGACATTCTAGAGAACAAGAAAAATCTGCGCTGTGATGAGATTTTGTCTTTGAAGCTAGAGCAGTAAATTACAGTGTTTTCATTAGAGTTAAATGTGGGAAAAACTCTGTTCTAATTTTTGCTTTTCTCTGGTATGAGTATGTAATATTCGTGAGAACAGCTTTCTATGAAAGACGGCTTTAATTGCTCTTATTTTCCTAATAAGGTCAAGAGCATTGTAATCAGCTTACAAAACACAGTTTGATACCCGGCATTTTTAAATATTCCGGCAAAACAGTGAACTCTGCTCAGCATCTGGTATTAACACCGCTCAGTGTTAGAGGTACATTCAGAACAAATAGCCCAAAATGTCTGGCAAAGCCAAAACCAAAAAGGCAGGCGCGAAAAAGAAAGCCCAGCGAGCGACCTCAAATGTATTCGCAATGTTCGATCAGCAACAGATTCAAGAGTTTAAAGAGGCGTTCAGCATGATTGATCAAGACCGAGATGGCTTTATCAAAGACACAGATCTCAAGGACATGTTTGCGTCGCTCGGGAATGAAAAGACCAACGACTACATTGAAGAAATGTTGGGAGAAGCGTCTGGGCCGTTAAATTTCACAATGTTCTTGACACTGATGGGTGAAAAGCTTAATGGCACAGACCCCGAGGATATGATAAGGAATGCTTTTGCTTCATTTGACATGGAAGGGAAAGGCATACTCAACGAGGACAGGCTGCGACCATTGCTGAAAGGAATGGGGGACAGGTATAGTGCCAATCTTATCCGTTTACTTCCCGTAAAGCTGAAGGTACTTTTCAAATTTCACGAAAACACTTATCTGTAGTTCAATTCTTAAAGGTCCTTAAAATCTGGGCTATATGTCACCATATATTGCCACGCGTTAATACAGATCAGTTGGTTAAGAGTCGTTGATCATGTGGGGGTGGTATTCCCATATATGGGCTGGACAGGGACGGTGGACGGCACACCCCTATCAAAAATTTATGGGAGTACCCCCAGGGGTCGATGAGCGTTCATCGACCTACACACGGGTTAAACTGTATAAAATTTGAACATCAAAACCCTTGAGAAACTTTTAAAAAGTGAGTGCAAAACATACTGGCATCTGATTTTACAAATACGGAAATCTTTTCTCTAGGCTCGCGTAGTGACCAGAAATACAAGAATGGATCCATCGAGACAGTCTCGATTTCACAAAACAAACAACTTTATACCGACTGACATGCTAATGAAAATAACGGACGAATGGCTTTATCCTAATTTAACTCCAGATCACTGGGGTATGACAACCTCTTTGCACAAAAGGCACAAACTTGGTATATGAAATTGCAGAAAAGGCCCTTTTATTTTGAAGAAACCGTGGCGTTGCCACTGAAATGGCATTTGTATTTCAATGACGTTATGAAGGAAAATGATCTACATGGTACCGCTGCCAATTTGTTTCCTGAAGACACCACCCTTCACCTCCCGTTTTTGCACACACCTTCGGGTCTGTTCGTTGGTGTCCTTCATAGCGGTAGTCCGCAATAGCGGGAGCTTCTTTCAGAGAAACGTCCGCCCTTTTTTTAAGGGGATTAATCTGTTGTTCGCATTACCGCAGATTATAGGGACTGAAGCAAAGTGTCCGAGACGCCCGATCGCAACGGAATTTACTAACTACATGTACATGTTTTAAAGATTGCGTGACGAATTTAGAAGTCTTATCTACAAAAAATTCTTTATCCACGCTCACCGGCTTTTAATTCGATTCCTGAGGCGTGACCATGATACGACTTTTGTGTCAGAAACATTTAAATTCTTTGTTTTGCACTTTAAAATACACGCTGCGTGTTGTTCGTTTTAGTTCGTTTTGTTCCCGTTTGGTTTCAACGGAAATGTCAACCCTTTAGTAAAATGTTATATTTTATAGTTCATAACTCCTCCGCCAATTAACATACCTGCTTGAACAAACTGACACGAGTGGATATGTTACTGAGGAACTACTCTTATCTAAGTACCAGATGAAATGTCAGTTTAGAGCAATGTTAGGCCTATTTATGATTTAAAGAGTTTTAAGTTTCTGTTGTGTTATTCTTCAAAACCGTTTTAATTTACTATTCAAATTTTTGACGTGTTTACTTAGAATGAGACCAGAATAACGTTTTTGAGTGGTAACTGATCGAAAATATCATTTAAAGTTCATGTTCAGAAACAGATATAACCTTCATGCAAAAGCCTTCTACACCACAGGAATTCCGTAGCAGCGTGACTTTAATTTGACCTTTTATATGTAACTGAAAAACAAAAAGCAAAAAAAGAATAATAAAATAAAAGAATCTTAAAAAATTAATCGCCTTTGCTAATCACAGGTTAAAGTTGCATTTTAACTTCCATGAAGCACTGGGACTGTGTTCCGGGGGATACTCTTGGAAATTATTGGGGGGTGCCGCCCCTGGGCCCTGACTCGTCCCCATTCGTCTCCAAGTTGTCTCTACTCATTAATTATTTACTAGGGAAGCGCTTGGGTTATGCGCGCGGGGAAGATTCTCTCCCTTCTCCCTTCTTCCTTCCCGTCATCCCCTTCCTAAAAGAGCCCGTTCTAGTCTTCCACGCTAAATACTAATAATGAGAGACGACTGGGGACGAGTCAGGTGCCGCCCTGCTCTCCAAATCCTATACTTAGATTAGAACAGCAACAAAAAGATATTTCAGGGTTGGTATCAGAGGCAGGTTGTGAACCGGGGGTACTTCCTATAAGGACCTATACGGGCAGGCTCCGATCCGGGCGTTCCCCCCAAAAGGGATGCCTTTTTCAGGTCTCAGATATAGGAAAGGGTAGGGATCTCAAAATTTGATAAGTACATGAAGGGTAGGGAAACTGGCTGTCGTTTAGGTTTGCAGAATGACCTAAAAGGGCCACAGAAAGATTTTAAGGTTGTGAAAAAGTCGCCATACGTTCTCGTTTGTCATTTTTAAGACAAAAGTTATAAGGGATGCGAAGTTCTAAACTAGGCATGTGAAAGGGTGACCATTTGTCAATGGAAGGTATACGAAATGGGTACCATTTCTGTCAAAAATGGTGTATAAAAGAGTAAGGGGTTATATCTCGCGGCGTAGCCTCCCCGTATAAAACTCAGGTGAGTACCCCCTGGTTGTGAATTTCTTGCTTGCCTATTTTCTTTAAGAAGAGACTATTGGATTTTATGTGTTTTTGATTTATCCCTTTAACTCATTCTCCAGGTTTACTGAAGACGAATGTGAAGAAATGTTCCGTTTAGCAAATGCCGACGACGATGGCAACTTCAACTACTTGGAGTTTGTGAAAACGATCAAACATGGAGCGAAGGACGATTCGTAGATGCAAAAAACCTTTAACCATATCGAATTTTTTTAAGTATTACTGGGGATGATTTGTGCTGTGCAGTTAAGAAAACCGTGAGCACATAGTCGAATATAAATTGAAACTTGGCTTACATAAGCATAAGCACAAATTTACGTCCACTTAATCGATGAGCATTAACGTCTCGTGTTTGTGCTGATCGGTTTAAACTTGCGAGGCAATAATGCAACGGTCGAGACAGTTCAGAAACAAGCTTTAAATACAAAACAAACTTGTGCTTCTGCTCGCTTTTCTGCTTCCTTTACAGTGTTAGTCTAAAGCCCTATTTACAAGAATATGTTACCTTAGTCGTATAGATAAGTTGACAAGCTTTTTCACCTTTTTATAAAGGAACTATTTGTAAAGGTGTCTCCTTGACGGAACGAATTATTTTTTGTGAAAGTTTTTCATTGAAAGGGAAAGCTTGTCCAAGCCAGTAAACGCGACTTAAACCTGTCGGCATTTAATAGGCATTAATAGGCACTATATAACTTTTCTTCGCCCAACGCTTAAAATTCAAATGTGGTGCCAAGCACCAAATTTACCGCCACTGCACCTGCATACACATACCATTTAATGCTTGTGTAATCCAGCACAGAAATGCTCACGGTTTTCTAATACATGAAGTAAGCTTTTTAACGGAGGAGTTGAATCTTATCCTGTTTATTTGATCAATTTTGTCGTGGGAATGGGCTATGTAGCCTGACAAAAAGCTCTCCATTTAGGTTGATATCGTGCGAGATGAAAGTTACGCCAGAGCGTGCGTGGGGCGGGCGGGGGGTTCCTCTACCCGTTTCGGGATGCTCGCTTTCTCGCGCGTTTTCTTGCGCCTCGCGTCGATCGGAGAGCTGTCTCGCAAGTTACGAGTCATAAAGCAGCTTCTGCTTGTACAGATCAGTTTAAAATAAAGGTTAGAAACAACGAAAGCGCAATCATGATTCTCAATTTTTTTAGCATGGTTGAGCAAGCATACGCCCTAGCATGAAAGCTTTCCATTTGGAGATATCGTGAAAAGAACACGCACGAGCGGCACGTGAGAGGAGACGCGGCAGCGAGGGGTGGGCAAAAAAGGAGAGCGCTCCTTTTTCTCCCATGCCCCCCAACCCCCGCCGCTCGCTCGCTCGCTCGCTCGCTCATTCTCGGCTCGCTTCGCTCGTCCAAATGGAGAGCTCGCTCTCAGGCAATTGACGCCGTCGTCGAAGGTCCAATGTTTATTCCCTATACTAGTTAACGGAGGAGGCTTGAAGCCGGGCGCGACAGCACCAGGCAAATTCGACGGATAACATCACATCCGAACTCTCTGAAGAAGACTGGGAACCAGCCTGGGGTTCTACGATCGACAAGCGTCATGTTTGACTCAGAATTTCAGAAAAGGGTGATGCACTTGCTGAGTTGTTTATTTTGTTTGTTTGTTTGTTTTCGACGTTCCCGTTACCCGTCGTCACCGTCTTTCGTTGGGTCCCTGTAATGACTAAAAGGGGTCATGGTGGGGGGAAATTATTCAAATGTAGCGATTATTCGATATTGTTCCACCAAAGGACGATGATTATCTCAGGGACGCGATTCAATCAAGAGGCGGCCATTATTCAAAGAAAACTTGTTACATCGAAAACCCTAAATGTGCCCTCCTTTAACAAACGCTGTTCCAATACGGACTGATTGTAGAAACAAAATGATTTACAAATTTTAATCTTCCATTTTTGCGATGGCCTTGCGAAAATTGCAAAATTGACTCTCTTTGTAATGTAAATATCAACAAATCTTCAAAGCAGCACTATGGATTTTTCACGGTCATAAATGTTTCTAAAAGCATGAAAATTTCTGCCGGCACAACATCTTTATCTTTTGGCAAATTATATCTTCTCTTACCCAAAATCACAAATATAAATTTTGGAAAATGTTTTTTTAACATCGGAGTACCTTTACGGAAAAATAAATCTTAAAGTAGTGGGAATTAAATGATAACAGTTTCCTGTCGTTACTTTTATCCTGTCAAAACACGGAAGCGCATTTAAGCGGTCATAGGCCCTTGATATTTCCAGTCGACTTTTACAATTCATAACAGTGCAAACGGGCTTTTTCTCATAAATCTAGCCTTCACTTTTGAGGCCTTATCTTATCACTTTTACTTTAACTTCCCCGAAAATGTAGGCCCGAGGCGACACTAACTCAAAGTGGAAAATTACAGACAGACGATTGTCCGGTTATTAGACAAACCAATAAATTATATACAAATTATGTTTCCAAAAAAACTTGTAGTTAAATGTGTCAATGTGTATACTGGATGAGCGAAGAGGCCTATCACCTGGTTCTGATGCTTATTTTCGTTTAAAACAAAAACTTCATTGAAAAAGCGGTCGGCGCTCGACTCCTAATTTCAAGTTCAATGTTATAAGCACAAAAGCATAGCGTTAATTAAGGCTGTATTGTACCAAAGAACAGGTGTTTTGACAAAACGACTGGTTTCGAAAAAAATAAGGTGAGTTGATCAAAGATATGGATTTGTTTTGGAGATGTTTGTCCTTTATTTGAAGACGACACGGACCCATTGAATGAAGGTACATTTTTAAACATGAATAGCTAGAGACGTCAATGATTTTCTAAGGATCAATTTTCTCGGTTCACAGTCGGCACGACGCTGGAAAAAATACCTTGCAATTCGAAAAGCAGTATTTATATTCTGGCCAGAAAACCATCCCAAGATAGAACAATAAAAATTCAAGTACCTATAAAACATCAATTCATGCTTTGTTCACCTCCAAACCAGAAAAACTTGTTCAAATACTTCTAAAGATCGACTAGTTTATTCACTGGCCGAGGCGTAAGGCTATAAAAATGATGGAAAAGCCGCGAGTGAACTACTTGCGCACAAAATGTTACTGAATTTTATTTAGTCCAGTCGGCCATAACTTAAAAGAAAAAATAACCAGCTCCACTCCCAGATTTAGTGGTATCAAAATTAGAACTCTGTCAGTACAACTTTGCAGTACGTTAACCGAATAAATGACTCATGATTTCGTTTTCGTTTGTTTGCTAAGTATCCTGTGTTGCGCAATTTTAGGTTACTTCAATACTCTTGCATCACTTTCTTTATTATCCGACGCTTTCCATTGTGTACCTGCGATCAATCGATCGTCCTTTTTTTCCGGCGGAAGCGGGACTCCTCCAACTTTTACGCTTCTCTTACCGCTGTTCGCGCTCCAAAACCAAGACCTGATCGATCGCAGGTGATGTTTTTATTTTTAAAAACATCAGAGTCATATTTTTGAGAAGTCTTCTTTACATCTTCAGTTCTTTAATTCAAATGAACTCGGCCTTGGCAGTGATTTTTAATAACAGTCCGTCTCTAAATGAAACTCTCATCTGTAAGTTTGAACTAGTTTTTATCTTGGTTACTTTGTAATTGAAGAACATTTAAGAAACAGATAAAATATTTGCGATATAATGGGCTAAAAAGTAATATACATAAAGTATTTCAGGCAGGGCTGTGAAATTTTAAATTTAATTTTCCTTTTAGCCCCTGGCGCATCTTAGAAAAAAAAACATAAAAGCTTGATGATCTTTAGGATACCAGCCGAGCGGATTTTTTTGTTATATGTCGTTGTTCGCTTTTTGGTCTTTACCAACGTTCAGTAGCATTCCTGATCATTTTGAAGTAACTGACAAATAGCAACGTTACATTGGGATTGATCCAGTCAATGTGTGAGCCGAAAACAACATATTGTGCACTTTCAGGGAGCTCTCAACGCAAACCCGCTACAGCACCCTCACGAATCTTTGTTTTGCCGAGGGCTTTCATAACCAGTTTCCCCTGATGAACGTGGTGTTGGATTGGTGACGACGAAGCAATAGAAAGGCTCACTTGGTGGTGGCGGAAGCGGAGGTGAAACAAAAGACATGTGGAGGTAGGTGGTTATGTAGTTGTTGGACTAAAACAATATAGAATTGCTTAACAAAATTAGGAAGAGGAGGGAAAACAAGGAGAAACTTGAAAGAAGAGGAGGGGGAGGAGGAAGAAGAGAGAAACAATGGAACTGAAGGAACAGTGGGAAAAATCGTTCCCAAAAATCTTGACATTATCCGTCTTGAAGTAACTGAAAACCTGTCAAACCAAAAATTTGCAGGAAATTATGCAAACTGGTATAAGTAAAGCTTTTCGCTACTTATATTTTCATTTATGGCTGGTTTTAAATCCCTAATAAGGAGGGCTAGTCTCCTTGATTTTATCGTGGGTATCTGATGTTTCTCCTGCTAAAATGTCAAAATGGTCCCATTTCAAATTGTGACCAGTTGAAGTGACGTGTTCTGCAATAGCTGATCAATGACCGTTACTGATGATGGCTTTTACTTCGGGCAGAAAAGCACAGAACGCGTCATCAGAATGGAATGGGCAAAAGCCGGATACATTATCATTAATTTATGACAAATATATGCGACAGTAGTCGCCTATAGAGGCAAATGTATGCATTGACATGAAAGCACTATAATGTCTGTAACTAGAATCGAGTAGTTTTCGTTGCTAACTTTGGAAGTGTGGAAATGTGGATTGATGATGCCCTGATGATTGCCTTGAAGTGTTCAGTTTTTCTATCATGCAATCTCCGTTTGGTTTTGCCAGTGTAGAAACTGACAGTCCTGACTAGCTTTATACAACTATGGACATTTCAGAACGGTTGAGCATGTCTTTGTAGGGGAAAAGAGACTTGATGCGATGTGTGTTTTGGAAAATAACCGTAAGGTCAATGCACCCATAAAATGTATTTATACAAGCCTTGAGTTGTTTGGTAATAATTTTGCTTTGCAACCCTAAATAAGGTAGTACAAAACGGATTTCTTTTTTTGGGTACCATGGCTGTTGGATTCCTTGGTTTGTTTTGTTGCCTACTCAAGGCATTAATACTGTAGTTAACAACGCCACTGGGGTAGCCGTTTTTTGACAATAATATTTTCACCTCGTCCAAGGAGGATCGCAACAACAAAGGCGACGAGCAAAGGCGGAGATAACAACGACCTAAACCAGGTTTGGCTGACCAGCGGTTTCGTGAAAACAAGGGTTTGTTGGGGATGCTCAGTCTCGCAGGCTCATAAAACCTGGTCTCGGCCGTTCTTATTTAAAGATTTTCTGGAGCCGAAAGTATGATCAGTTGAGCGTTTGATGAGGATATCAAGAAATGAGATTGCGTTATTCTCTTCGAATTCAATGGTGAATTTGATATTTACATGACAGGTATTGAGATAGTGTAGAATTTTTTTTTTCTTTTTTCTTAACAGCAACGCTCGCCCTTCTGTTTGGTTTCGATACGTCGGTGACACGTTCACCTTATTTGACAGTAAGGACACAGCAGCACTGTGCTGTGTCCTTACTGTCAATTAAGGTGAACGTGTCATCGATGTATCATAACCAAACAGAAGGGCGAGCGTAAAACTGTTATGTCCTTACTGTCAAATAAGGTGAACGTGTCGTCGACGTATCGGAACCAAACAGAAGGGCGAGCGTTGCTGTTAAGAACCCATTTTTCCTCTAAGTGGCACATCAAGATATTTGCCATAACAGGGCCTAAACATGATCCCACTGCTACACCATCGATTTGATCGTAGTACTGACCATCGAAAAAAAAGGGCTTAGTCTTCTTCGTAGCGAACTCAAGCAGAACTTTTAAGACGGAGCGGGATATTGTTGGTTTTTCTGGGAGAACATATACCTTGTTTATTAAGAAAAAATTGTATTGTCTCGTCGAGTGGAACGATTGTAAACAAGGAGCTAAAGTAAAAAGAGCACATCACCTCGTTGTTATGGTTTTATGACTTGGCCAAGTGCGCAAAACTAAAAGAGGCCTTGATTGTGAACTGATTTGCGGAAATTGGCAGAAGTATATCCACAAGGTATGATGCGAGATTATAATTATAAGTGTTTACAGAGAAAACAATAGGACGGAAAGGGCAGCCAGGTTTATGAATCTTAGTGAGACCATCACGAAATGGGATTCTTTCACACCCCGATAAAGTTAATCTTATCCGAACGCTCGGTTTCCGTTGTTTTCGCCTTTGCTCGTCGCCTTTGTTGTTGGGATCCTCCTTGGAGGAGCTGAAAATGTTATTGCCAAAAACGGCTGCTCCAGTGGCGCTGTTAACTACAATATTAATAATGTCAACAAAACAAACCAAGATTACCCAACAGCCATGGTACCTGCATGGTACCCAAAAAAAGAAATTCGATTAGTACTATCTTATTTAGGGTTGCAAAGCAAAATTATTACCAAACAACTCAAGGCTTGTATAAATATATTTTATGGGTGCAATGACCTTAGGGTTATTTTCCAAAACACACATCGCATCGAGTCTCTGTTCCCCTACAAAGACAGACTCAACCGTTCTCAAATGTCCAAAGTTGTATATAAAGCTAGTTGTTGGGACTGTCAGGATTTCTACATTGGCAAAACCAAACGGAAATTGCATGACCGAAAAACTGAACACTTCAAGGCAATCACCAGTAACGGTCATCGATCAGCTACTGCAGAACACGTCCGCCTTCAACTGGTCACAATTTGAAATGGGACCATTTTTTCTAGCAAGAGGAAAATCAGATACCCATTGTAAAATCAAGGAGACTCTTCTTATTAGGGATTTAAAATCATCCCTAAATGAAAATATAAGCAGCGAAAAGCTTTACTTATACTAGTTTGCATAATTTCGTGCAAATTTTCTCATCTGTCACATTTATTTGTTTTTAATTTTTCCTTCACGTTAATTAGTTACTTATCTTAATTTTTTTTAATGTAAATTTAGTTACTACTCTAAGCATACGAAACGTCAAGTTCGATATCATAAAAGTCAGTTAATACAATGCGTTTGTTATTTCTGATGTTTGTAACTGCAGTTTGTGTATTCCCTTAGAATAATAGCGAAAAAAAGTGAAAGGATGCGAAGTCTATTTTCAGCGACCTTTTCTTGGACGTCGCTGTTATCGGATCGTAAGGACCCTACTAACACATGGTGTCATCGACGTTAATGTATTCCACACAAGAAAAACAACTAAATTAAACTTTTCAATTCATGATAATAGTTTGTACTTATTTTTCCATGTTCATTGAGCGCCGAATTATGAAACCCTGATTTGGAACAATTAGTCACTGAATAAAACATTTCACATACAGAAGTGATTGTTTTAATCCTGAACCTGATTTCTCCATATATAGGCCCCATCAATTTTCTGTTTGATTTTGGAAGAAAGTACTTCCAGAATACACAAGATTTTTAGACAATTTTTTTTCGCGTTGAATTGCCTTGATTCATGCACAGTGGATGTAACGTAACCCTATTGATACCCGTTTTAAGATTTTCGTTACCTTTTATCTACTCATCAATCTAAATTTTTTTTTCTCCTTCATTTCTTTTCCTTTTTAAGGGTCCTATCTACCCAGAAGTCTGCTCCGGTCTACTACAGACAACTCCCGTTATTGTTTCCGTAATAGGGAGAGTCAGCAATAGCGAAGTATGAGGGAAAAAAATTGTTTTCTTTATTGACTTATGAAATAATTTGTAAAAGTCCCAGAAGCATTGTAGTTTCGACAATTCTTTACTTGTTTACATTATGAACCATAAAAGATTTAGTGAAGATAATAAGATTATAAATATGCTGTATTATTTTTTCCAAGCTCTGCAATGACAAGGGATACATAAGAAAAGGCTAATTAACAAACTAAACGGACACTCCTCCAGTAACGCGATGTCATATATAATGTTTTTTATGGTTCTTGGCAGCTCTTCTGTCGCAGAAATGGCACAGTATACTTACAGTTGAGTGTTTTACAGTTGAGTGTTTAAATAACGCAAAATGTTTCTGAGCCCTTATGGCAATGTCTTTTCTCCCTAAATTGCTGTACAGCAGTTATTTGTTTACTCTTTTACGAAGAAGCTGATTCTATAGGAATTGCTGTTATGTTTGGCAAGCTTCCATGGAAGAAGAACTATCTGCCATCTGAGTGAAGAGTTAAAAAGCTCGGTAACTATTAGAGCAAGATGGTTTGCAAAATCTCTCCACATAAAATTGAACCACACAACATATACAATTATATACACTCAGTGATCTTAAGCAATCTCATTGGTTCTCTATCTCGGACTATTCAACAATATTCACCCCCTAGCGAGTGGATAATGAGTGTGCTCGGTGTTTTTCCCATTTTTTTAGAGAACGATCTTTTAAAAGTTGACAAAATCCTAGGGTTGACTTTTTTAAGGCAAGAAAAGACTTGGAAGGATTCAAAACGGCGTTTTTCCATTTACTGTAGCTGAGTTTTGTGCTCGATGGATTGTTTACAACGGCCCGTTTATTCGCGTAGAAGAACTGAGCCGTTTCGTGAACTCAGCGTTTTCTAACAAGAAAATTTGGCTTAAAAATCGAAGTTCGTTTATGACAAACAAATTTGAAAGCAAATGTTTGCGCAAATTCTACGTTTCAAGTAAACAGGAAAAAGAATGATACAGGAAGACGACCTCCTACCTCGAGCAACCGAGCCGCCATTTTTGACAGCACTTCATTCGAAGAACGACACAACAAACCCCAGTTTGGCTATAAGCTTGGCCAGTCAACAGAAAAGAACAAAGTTCTACTTTTCTTCTCAGGTAAGGAAACAATTCAAACTTTTAAACGGTTCCAATTAAGCCGTTACGCTGTTGTTTGCGAAGTAATAAACTTCTGAATTGCCATGTTTAAATATTCTGCAAAGATCTGTTTTTAAACTTTCGCGTGATTTGATCCGTCAATCAAATCGTACTTTTTAATGGTTTCCTCTCTGATTTTGTTGAGATCACTGGGTGTGTACAGTATGTGGTCCTTGGTCCGCGACTAAAGGTCAATATCTTGAATATCTTACCTGAATTAAAACGTAACGAGCTGAAATACTCTCTGAAGATAGCTTTTGTTCCTCTCGACAATCGCGAAGTTTCAAGTTCCAGACATAGATATTTTGCTTGGAATTCGAAAAAAGGCGATCGTCGTCGATGGTCCTTGGTCAGCGAATGTGGTCCTTGTTCCGTGACTCAGGTAAGCAGCACGAAAAAAACGAAACGTAAAAATGTGATAGTTTCCACAAGAAAACGTCTTTTCACAATATTTCATGTATTTTTTTTTCTATTCTTGATGTAATTAAGTTAATTTTGTTGTGAGTATAAAATAATCTGCTTTTCTTTCAAAGACTTCAGACAACAGTCTCCTCGAGTCTCTCACACTAGCGTATAGACGAGCGGTTTTCAGCGAGGTCGATAATTACTAAAAACTCTGTATGTATTAGAGGTACTAAAAAAAGGAGAACTTGTAGACACGTGTAGGGACGATTTTTAAAACATTCTTCGAAAACAAAGGCCGTCGCTTTTTAATTTGCGAAGTTTATTCAACCAAGGTCATAGGTCGGGTACCAAGGACCACTAAGCAAAATTTGGTGATATTTTTCAACAGTTGATAAAATTCAAAGTCTGCTGCAACATGCTTCCAACAGCCGAGTGGTTGATCTGAAAACATGTTCTGCTAAAAGGCACGTCTTCCCGTTGCGTTTTATTTATTCGCAGGCTAAGTAAACATGACCATGTAATTTACGGTACCGCAAAAGTCCAAACTTCAAGAAAGACAAATTAACCTATCTGTCAACAAACTTTAATTTCGCGCCTTCACCGACAGCAAAAAAGCCGAAACTTCGTCATATGATAGAATGCTAATCAGTAAATCACGATAATTCATTATTCAACGTATTTTTTTGTATACAGTGTATACTAATTAACAATTATTCTTTTCAATCTCGGTGAATAGTGGCATTAGGAATCTTTACCTCGCCGCTTCGCGTCTCGGTAAATTTGGCTATCACTATTCACCTCGATTTCAAAGAATGATTGTTAAATGTACAATAACTTTTTCGGTCTGCTGCCAAAAATAAGGGTTCTGAAGCTCTCCGGCTCTTATATTTTTTCAACGATTATCACTCGATGTTGTCTGGTTTTGGAGAACATCTACAGTTTTAAAAAAACGATCTGAGGTCTGGTAAATGTTTAAAAAAATTATTTGCAGTGGTGAAGATGTTATAAAGGTTCAGTTGATTGAATTACTGAAACAGTTATTGAATTCGTGTTACGAAATGTTATGCACCTGATGTGCATGTGCTTTGAGGAAGCGCCAGATCCTTTTCAGCCCGCCTTCGGTTTCTCTGCAGAAGTCTTCGTTTCGTGGTCAAGCTCAACTTCATCCAATTACCGCTTAATATAATATGGCATTATTTTCTCTAAACAAATAGCCTGCTCGCAAATTCATGCATTATCTTATAAACAGGAGGGAGCTTTGTCAGTGGAAAAGGAAGTCGGGTCCGACACAAAATCAGGATTATTTTGAAAACGGTGTAACTTTCATGGATGGAAATGTGTACCGTGTACTCTCTTGTCGCTGATATTTAGAACTGAGAAAGATTTCTCGTCATGGCCGGCGTTGTCTATCGCAAAAGCCAGCAAGAGAAGCCAGTTAATATTAAGTTCTTTACTGAACTCCGTATTGGCAAAACAAACTATCATGAATAGTCAGATTGTTCTGTCTCAGAATAAAGAAAGGATTAAACACCTAAAAACATGTTTTAATTTCTGTTTAGGTTGTGCAGGTATTTCTTTGCCTTGAATGTACCTCGCTCAACTAAAACACTATTATTTCCGTCCAGTTCTTGATATTTATCTTTAATTTATCCATTTTTATCAATTTTTTATTATACCTTTTATTAAAAAGGCAACATATTAAACATATTAAAGCGGCTAGCTAGTCTGAGGACTTGGCTATTATTATCTCAAATGAAACAAGAATAAAATAACTGGGAAAACGCCATATGATTATACAGTTTAATTAAATCTATTGAGTTACTATTCAGTGCTAAACTCAACCAAAATTAATCCGAGTAAAGGAGTAAAGGATAACCCCATGGTTGAAATTGTGTTCTGTATACTCTCTTTTCGCTGATATTTGGCAATGATAAATATTTTTCGTCATGGCCAAAGTTTTTTCTCACAAAAGACATTATATCGCATTCTTCACTCCGTATTTGCAAAACAAAATATTTATGTATAGCCTTGTTCTTAATTTCCCTGAGTAAAGAAAGGATTAAACCCCGAAAAGCATTAGTCTTTATAGTGTTTATTTCGGGGCATTTCACTATCTTGCGCCTATTGCCTGCCCAAAACCGGCACTGCCGTCAGTTTCCGTGCAGTTTTTAATATTTATCGTAGTATCAATCTTCGATTATGTCTTTAAAAAGGCATTTAAAAAGCAGCGCCTCGAAATTAAAGAGGCCGGCTGGTCTGAATAAACTGGAACATACCTCCTAAAAATAAGTAAAAATTAAATAAAATAACTGGGAAAAACGCCATATGATTATACAGCCCAATTAAATCTAATGAGTCCCTATTCAGAGCTAAATCCAACCCAAATTAATCCGTGAAACGCGACAAACCCGCAAAAGCATGAAAGAAATTAAAAAGGAGCATGCAATGTATGAGTAATTTTTTTAGTATATTTAGGTGAGATGCAATCCACCATGTCGAAATTACAACGAATAATGATAATAAATTATCAGTAAACATGCACAATTAGCGGAGGAAAAGAATAAAAAGTCAACGCCTAGAATGTAAATTGTCTGCCAGGGGGATTTAATTAAATTACTGGAAAAACCATTGGACAGGGTTAAATAACTGGAAGAGTACTTAAGACTAAATATATTTTTAAAAAAATCGCAGCAAAGTTTTATAATTTACCGTCATGTCACAGTAAGTATTACAGAATTTCTGTTGACAAGTGAAGTAATATGTAAGTTCAAATGACACTGACACAGTGGTAATTGCAGTGCCAGCGGGAAATGAAACGATTCATTGTTTTGACGTAAATGGCTGAAAGTAAATAGAATTCTACTTGTTCATACCCAATAAAAAATCCTCTTTGTGACCTCTGTTTAAATTCAAACGTCAGCTGTTGGAAAAATAAATTGTGATCGCTTATAGTTGCCGGAAAAAAAAGGATCACTTCTGTTTTCCGTGTATATTTTAGTAACAAAGGCCAATTCAAAAAATGCGATTTAACTCAAATCTGAATTTTCATGAATTGCAATATTTTCCTAGTAAAAAGGTTTTTAATTGGTTCATTCTACAGTAGACACGGAAGGATTGACTTGAATCACTAGCTACATACAGGTCAGTTTATAGTTATAATCACACATTTAAAAATCATTTTTATCTGCTGTAACTTTTCATATCTAAACTGGATCTCTTTGGATAAAACCGTAATGGCGTGAGGCACAAATGACAAATATGAGCTATCACAGTATTTATAGCGGAATTTGTTCTCAGAACTGATTCATTATGAACAGCCAGTATCAAAATAACAACCGTTAATGACCTCGAAACTATGGTGAGATAGGGGTTAAGTATCCTTTGCGAAGAAAAAAGGCAAGTCATTTATCTTTAAGAAGTCGGATTACTTAAAGTGACAATTCTGTCGGTGAAGAAAAATAATATACATCCCAGTAAACCCGGGTTACGGTCCGTACTGTAAAATCCTGACCGTAAAACAGCCAATCATACTGCTGCCGATTCATAAGTCTTGAGTTTTGCTTGCCATAAAGTGAAATATATGTCTAAACCGCAAGATCGAAATAATGATGATGTATACTAAGTTATTTATACTAGCAAGCCGGTTAAAACGTACGCCGCGCTGGCTGTAAAGTGAGAGAAAACCAAAAACCACACGACTGTTTATAGCGTCACAAGTGAAGTGAGAATAATTTTGCGATTCTACAGCTAGCAAGAGCGTTGATTTTCCTCAGTAGTAACTCACGAAGCAGAAGTTTGTAGGGCTCTTTTAATCAAATAAAAAGCGTAGATTTCTAAAAAAAAATCGACAGCAACAGCTGAGTAAAGTTAAAGGAACGCTTTTAACTCGAAATATCCACGACAAGAATTAATTCGAAGTCGGCTGAAAGCTGCAAATAAAAAAATAACGAAATTCTAAATTTCCAGGCAAAAGCTCGTATGACGGCTAGAGGAAAAGAAGTCATAATACGCTATCGAAACACACTTCCGTCAACAAATTAGACTCCGAGATACAACGCAACAAACGAATTTTGAATATTGGCAGTTTGTTGCATAATTTATTTTAATTTAGGAGGTCGAAAAAGACCTAATAACCCCCTAATGTACCTTTATAGTGAAAAACACTCGTGGACATATAAAATCCATGATTTTCTCGTAAGAGCTATGGCGTCCAATCAACTCGTTTAAATATCCCGCAAATGTACAGAAAAATAAGAAGATTGAAGGAGGAAGAGGACGACGAAAACGTCACATTATATAGACAGTTGTCCTCACTAATTTTTAGAACAAAAAAGACACTATTAAACTTTAAAAAAACGTGTAAGTTAAACATTAAAGAGAGAAAAAATATAAGTTTCTAGCTCTATTTGAAGAAAAAATATTTACTCGATGACGCTAGCGCTCTTTCTGTTCTGTGCTTTTATACAAAGTCGAAAAAATCAGATTATCCCTGAAGTTGTATTTTCTTAGTTAGTGTGGGTCCGCCTCAAAAAAGATCATTGCTTTTTGCAAATAGCAATTGCCATATTTATACAAAACAGGGTTTTGGTCTAAATATTTTGATATTTGCTTTGCGTCCGTTGCTTTGGCCGACCGAAAAGCTTCGCTAAACTTCTCAGTTCATCTATAAGCATTTACGTAAGGGCTTTTGCTGTGAGAATCGGAGCGAATAGACCTACTTTCTGGCTCATATTTTTTTGTTTTAGACGTTGGGAAAAGTGCAAAAACTTGACCAAAAGTCTTGAAAACCTGTCCTTTAACTACATTTCATCTATATAATTTCAAAATCGCTCAATCCACATTTATTCGGGGCCGCTAGCTTTTCCGGTCAGCTGTTTCAATATGAATTCTACAATTATAGCGTCCAAAGAGCAAGCTATCTTTCCCTAACTTTGTCTTTAAGTAAAACAACACCCATTCCCTTTAAAAGAAAAAATATAGGTTAACTATTACCTAAAAACATGAAAACATTGATAATTTCTACCACCTCAAAAGAGTCATTGTTTACACGAAAGTACATGAGCGACAAAATTTGTCGAGTTTTTGAAAGATTGAAATCTCTTAATGAATTCAGCTGACAGATCAGTCGACTAAAATTGACAATACCACTAACAAGATTTATGACGCATATGCACGAAGCTATTTGTGTATTTTTAAAGTAAACGTAACTTTACCAAGGTAAGCGAAATTTAATTTTTAACCTTTAGGCAAAGAATCTCTTGCTATGAAGAATCATTGACTTCATCTTTGGTTTAGTCGCTTTGAGCTGCAGGAAAAAGCAAAACATC